GCCGCCGCCGCCGCCGCCGCCGCCGCCTTTGTCTGCCCGGCCCCTCGCGGAGGGAGGCAGGGAGGCAGCGGCGCCCCCGGCGGCCCTGACCGGGGCCTGCGGGGCGCCTGCTGGAAGGGGCCCCTGCCGCGGGCGCCGCCCATCCCGGCCCTGGTCTCGGCCCCCGCGAGCGCCGGGCTCCCCTGCGAGGAGGAGGAGGAGGAGGAGGAGGAGGAGGAGGCTGGGCTGGAGGCGCCCTCCGTGGGCTCCGGGCTGCGGCTGGACGGCCCGGGGAGATTCCCGTCGGGGGCTGCGGGCGCTCCGGGGGCGCCTTGGGGGTCCGGCTAACCGAGCGGCCGCTTGGCTGGAGCTTTGCGGCGAAGCCCTTCGGGACGGGCGCCTCGACCTGCTGGCCCGCTGCCGGCGCCTTCCCCGCTGTGGGGCTTCTGAGTAGGCCGCCGGTGGGGAGCTTGACGGCACCGAGGGTCCCCCGCGTGGAAGCGCCGGAAGGGCCCGAAGGACGGAGCCCGAGCGAGGCTGCTCTCCGCTGTGCGGCGGCGGAGGATGATGTCAACTGCTGGTCGGAGCTCTCGCCTCGTTGCTTTTGCTTGGGAGCCGCCGAGGGGAGGCCGGGAGGCCCTTCGAAGCGCCCCGGGTCTTGGGGAAGGCTTGGCCGAAGGGAGGGGGCGGAGGGGCCCCGGACGGAGGAAAGAGCCCGTGGAGCCCTCGGCCCTTTGGGGAGTCGCGACCATAAAATGAGCCTTTCGACCCAATGTGGGTCCATAAATAATAATAAGGCCACCAAATCCTGCAGGGTCCCTCCTGACTCCCAGGGGCCCCGGGGCCTTGGCCCACCAGACGGGTCCGCCTGCCTCCCAGGGATTCTTGGGAGCCCACAGGGTGGGACTGGTTCCCTTACAGGGGTCACCGCTCCTAACAGTACAAAATCTCCACAGAAATGATGATAGATTGGAGCCATTTATTTCACTTTTGCAGGCAGCCGGCAGGCCTAGTGCTTTTACAAGGGACTTGTTTTAAAGTGTTTTCAGGGAAATCCACAGGGCCACCTTAGCTAAAGGTGTCGCTTCTTCTTGTAGCTGATAGTAGTTGTTTACTGTGTTTATTGTTTATTTATCAATTTCTACACTGCTCTTCCCACCGGTGATTCTGGATGGTTTGCAAATAGCCTTAGCTCTCAGGGTGGCTGTGGAGAAGGAAGCTGTGTGGGATCCCTTCACCGCCTTCGGTTATTTGTAGAAATAATAAAGGCGGGACAAGTAAACAAAAACCACAGCTACAATAAATCTTCATCTACAGTGTAGATACACAATGCTCACGTCGGCCATACATCCCAACAAAATACCATAGAAAATTAATCCAAATGTTCAAATGGATGAAGGCAAAACAGTGTAACATGCAAAATAATTGCTACCAAATCAGAGACCCATCAGCTGGCGCCATGGAACCCCTGCGTATTCTCAGGTGCTGATTAAATAAAAAGAAAAGCCCAGAAAAGCCCAAGGCACATCCAATTGTTTCAAAGAAGGGGGCATTCCAGGGAGCCCCCCCCCCACACACACACATGGAACCTGGCCTGTCCAGGAACGTCCAGTGGGTGGTGGCAGCAGCGGCAGCAGCCGGGCAGGCAAGGCAGAAAAACAGGCAGCCTGCAGCAGAGCTCAGCAACAGCCGTCAGCCTCTTGCATTAAGCCCCCACCCCACCCCCTCGCCCTGCTGTATTTGCCCAGCCCCCTAATCTCCCTTTGTAGCTTCAGCTTGTTTTCCTTCTGGGAGATCGTTTAAGCCCCCCCCCCCCCTTTTGCTCCATCTCAGGGGGCTGCCCCTCCTGCCTCCCAAATGGGCATCGTGTGGCTGAGGTGTTTTTGGGTTGGGGGAGGTCGGGCAGAGAGTGGCGACCGAGACAGGGAGGGGCACCTTTCGCCCGAGCCCCCTCCCTCCGCCGGCTCTTCTTGGTCCGCGGTGGCCGAGAGGGTGGCCGCCTCTTCCCCCCTTCCTCTGGCCATGGTGCCATTTCTCCTCCAACAGGTTATTTGTGAGAAAGGAGGCGCAGCCGAGCCCAGCACTGCAAGGCCATGTGGTGGCTTTGTTTTGTCTGGCTGCCTGGCGCTGCATTATCCCTCCGGTTGGATGAAAAGGCTGGAGGTTCTCCTTTTCCCCTTCACGGCCGGGACGGCAGATTGTCCGGCTTCTGCCGCCTTTGGGGATCTAATCTCTGGGCTTCTGCTTTATTTTCGCTCCGCGAGAGCTTTTATGCTAATCGCCTTTGTGCCCACAAGGAAGATTCCGCTCTCTCCAGGAGGATTTCGGGGGGGGGGTAGGAGGAGGGGCGTGGCCCAGAGATGGCAGTTGACACCTGGGACCCTGGCAGCCCGCGGGGTCGGACAGGCATCGTGCGTGGCTTCCCAGAACCGCCCCCTGCTCTTCTTGCAGCAAGAATTGGGCCCGGGGAGGGAGACCCGAAAGGGGCTGAGAATCCCTGGCCCAGCGGCAGAGAAGGGCGCTTCACTGCCCTGCCCAGCGGAGCCGCTGTGCGTGTCTGACGGGGCCCCCGGGGAGATGGGGAGCTCACATGTCACTCTTGGTCTGGGTGTGGCCCCCGTGCTTGGAATGCCCCCTAGGTTGAGGAAGTAGCCCTGGTGACGTCCCTTTGGGCTGGGCAGAGGAGCTGCAAGCAACCCACGCAGCAGCCGGGGATGCCCTCGGTCAGGAGGAAAGGCGCTGTGGCCTCCCTGGCAGAGGGGCGGTTGGCTCTTCTGCCTCCCTGGGGCTCCTGGGTGGCCGGTCGGCCTTCCTCGCTTGAGAGTGGCTGCGCTGGCCATGGAAGGAGAAGCGGCTGGCTGCCTTGCAGAGCAGGATGGTGTGCAGGATGCAGTGGGGGTGGGGGAGAGCGGTGGCCCTTCCCCGCCTCTCCCGGGTGCTGGTGGGAGTCCTCTGGGGGGTGGCTGTGCCAGCATGAAATGGGGGGCTCAGGAGCGCAGGGAGGCCGAACCAACAGAACAGAGAAGGCGCCATTGGAGCTCGCAGGACTCATTGCCACAAGGCCAGGCAACGGCCGGGGAGCTGGCTGGCCTTGAGTGGATTTGGCCAAGGAGAGGAAGCCGAGGGGGCAGCGGCCTTGCAGGGCCCTTCCTCGTGGAGGGAACCTGGTGCTCGACCCGGGTGAGAATTGCAGGGGTGGCGTTTTTCTGCTTTCCGTGGGTGAGGCTGGAAGTAGAGAAGGGGCAGCCAAGGGGGACTGTGGATTGTTCCGTCTTAACTGGGGTGTTCCTGGCCGGGAGGGAGCAGTCACCCACGACGGTCACCTGTTCCCTCGAGGCTTCCCGGGGAGCCCCCGTTGGGTCCGTCCAGAGTTTGGCAGCATTCCTCCCCTTCTGGTCTCCTACCCGCTGGGGAGAGCCTCACCCGCTGGAAGTGACCTCCCTAGACACGCCTGGGGACGTCCACTCCTCCAGGCCTCCTGCTCAGATAAAGGCATTTAAAGACCCTCTTCAGGATTCTGATGGGAGAAGGCAGGAACCCCAAGTCCTCTTCCCCTCGCCAGGCCCCAGAGAGCCTCTGCGTTTCCTTAAGGTGGGAGGCGGCCGAGGGTCCCCAGGGAGGCTCCTGTTTATAACGCCCCCGTGTAAATATTAACTCTGGGCTGGTTTTGTTCTTCTGTTTCCCTTTCCCCCCTCCCTCCTCAGCAAAGCTGTACAATCTAAAGTGGACTGCATTTTGGTGAGTAAAAGCTGGAAATGGGGCATTTCTAGTTGGGGCTCCTTAACGACGGTCTTCCAGGGTGCCCTAAGCGCTGGTGCCAGGCGCCGGGACTCCCAAAGGGGGTTCCTCGTTAGGCTCCTTGGACGAGGGCCCCATCCTGAAAGAGGGGCTGGCGTAGGGAAAGCCTCTTCCCTGCTGAGCTACTGGCTGAGAGCTCTGGGGGGCTGGAGGAGCGGGGGGGGGGGCTTTTGGGTAGGGAAGGAGGCGGACAGCTTTTCTGGGCTGCCCTGGAAATGTCTGGGAAAGAGGGGGGAGCCTGAAAGGGCTGACCTGTCCCCCCTTCCTCCTCCTTGGGTTTAGCAAGAAGTTGAGAAGTTTACAGATTTACAGAAACTCTACCTCTACCTTCAACTGCCTTCCGGTCCCAGCAATGGCGAGAAAAGGTAAGGGGGGGGGCGTGTCCCAGGATCTAAAGAACATCTGCCCCCCTCACCAAGCGCCCCCGGTCACATGGTTGTGCTGGGGGGCGGGGCTTCTTCGGGATGGGGGGGGGTGGCTTGGTGTGGGGCCTCCTCAGAGTGGGGTTTGCTCCTGGGGGCAGAGAGAGAGAAGCCATTTCCCCCTTGGAAGGGCAGGTGACGCCATGCCTTGAACCCTCCAGGATGGATGGAAAGAGAGTCCTTGGGGCCCTGCAGCCCTTCGCTGCCTGCCTGGCCTCCCCTGCCAGCTGCCTTGGCTTATGCGGCACCTCCCCTCGGAGGGAAAGCAGCCCAGCCTTCCGGGGGGAGTCTGCTTCGTGCCCTTCGCGGCTTCCCATGCGGGCAGAGGTGCTCCCTGCTTCATGAGCAGCACGCTCGCTTTGCTCGGGGACGGCTGTGTGGCAACCCTGAGCTGCTTGTTTGGGGCCCAGGACCTGCCCCTCTCCCCAGGGGCCCAGCGGGTGTGCCTGTCCCGAGGCCCTCGGGGGCCACTTGGGAAGCAGGTCTCCTGGCCCTGTGGCGGTGGGGGTTCCAGAGGGGCCAAGCCCTTCACGGACGGAGGCTGCCCTTCTGAGCCCAGGCAGGGGGGCATCCCAGGAGGACGATGCCACCGTTCCCACACCTGAGCTCTCCTCTCCCTTCTGCTGCAGTGACCAGCTCTCCGTCTCCTCCAGCCGTGCTCAACAGGTGCACGCCCTTTCCTGGATCCGGAACACCCTGGAGGAACACCCGGAGACCTCCCTCCCCAAGCAGGAAGTCTACGATGAGTACAAGTGAGTCCCTCCTGTCTGTGGCCGGGGGGCGGGGGGGGGGCTGCTTTCCGCCTGGTGCCCCTTGGCTCTGCTGCTCCCTCCTCTGGATGTCAAGGGGGCTGCTGAATGGGCCCTGCTCACCTGCCCTGAAGCCCCCCCACCCCTTCGCCTCCCAAAGGGGGTCCCCCTTGCAGCAGAGCTCCCCCAAACCAAAGTGAGGGGGCAGCCCTTCAGCTCAGACGGGGAGAAGCAGCTGCCCCACTGATCTGGAGGGAGGGCCTGGGCAGCTCCCCGCCTGGGCTCTGGGGGTGGGGGGGGGCGGGGGGAGGTCAGCCTGCCCGTGGCTGGGCTGGCCTTTCGGGCCTTGGCAGGGCGGGCCAGGCCGGAGCTCCCCCTCTGCCAAGAGCAGCAGTTCCCACCCAGCGTGCTGAGAGGCCGAAATGCCAGCCCTCTCCCTTCAGCCACAGTCAGCCGGCCCCGATGCCGGGCTGGTCCTGTGCCGAGGGGCAGGTTGGGCAGCCAGGCTCCCTGGGGAAGAGCCGGGGTGTCAGAGTGCAGAGATGGGGTTTTGGTTCCCTCACCCAGAAAGCCTTTCAGCTCTGCTAGAGGGCTGGTGGGAGGCTCCCAGGGGCTGCACCTCCACACCCCCCCTCCTCCTGAGTTTTCGGCACAGGGATCCCAGGAGCCTTTTCGGGGGGGGGGGTTCCTGCAGAGCGGGAGCTGTATGGATGGGCGGCTGGGAGGTGGCTGGGAGCCTCCAGATTTCCCCGCCCCTCGGCCGTTTTTCTCTCGGGCGCTCTCCTCCTCCTCCTCGGCCAAGCCAGGCGTTGGGCCCTGCGTCCCCCGGGGTCCCTCCTGAGACCCTCCTCATGTTTCAGGAGCTACTGTGACAATCTCGGCTACCACCCGCTCAGCGCCGCAGATTTTGGCAAGATCATGAAGAACGTCTTTCCCAACATGAAGGCCCGGCGCCTGGGCACGCGAGGCAAATCTAAATATCCTTTGGAAAGAGCCGTGGCTGTCCGTGGGCCGCGGGGCAGATGGCGCTTCGGGACAAAAAGCCCTCTTGGCATTGAGAGACGGCACCGCCTTAACTGTTAAAATCACATATTGCTACAGTGGACTTCGGAAGAAAGCCCTGGTGCTGATGCCGTCGCTCCCCAATCTGGACTTCCCTAAAACGGGGGACGGGGTAAGCTCTGCCGCTGCCCTCCAGGCCCCCCTGCGGGTGGGCGGGCGGGCGGCTCTCTCCTGGCCGTTGACCGGGCGAAGGGGCTCCAGGAGCCGGAGGAAGGTGATGGCCAGACGAAAGGAATTTGACACCCGAAGTCTCACGCGAGGGATCCTCTCAAGCCAGACCCTCCCTGGTTCTAGTGAAGNGCCCACCCCCCCACCCCCCCGTTTGGGTGGTGGTCGTTGGTGCTCAGAGACGTTCTCCCCGGAGACACATTCGTTGTTTTCCTCAGTTCTTTTGCTTCTGGGACGTCCCTCCAACTTCCCCACCAGGCCTTTCCTCTCTCTCTCTCCTACGTTCTGCGAGGAAACACCCGGCCTCTCGTGAGGAAGTTGTGAATGTGAACGTGCGGAGGACTTGGGGAATGTGAAATAGATGCCTTCATGTTGTGGACCACCAAGCACAATCCATGGCTTAACACAACAAGTCAGCACCTGCTCTAACCTTCTTGCTGCATTCTTGCCCAACGGCGTCCAGCTCCTCTTGCATCACACGCAGCTTTGCCTTTAGGAACCGGATCTGGGCCTCTGCAAGTTGGCAACATATTGTCCATATGACAACCCAGCTTACGTGGGATCTCTCATTCTGGAGCCCATCTTATGATAACCCACTTTAAGCCACCCTGGAAAAAACATTTGGGTGGCAGATTACGGGAGAATGAATGAAAGCCAAACGTGCCAGCAAACAGCCTCACTCGCCTGCTCCAAGTTCACACCCTGAACTTGGGATAAGATTATCTTCCAGATCAGGCAGGTTTCCTTCTTCCAGCTGTCCTTCAATTTTCCCAATTAGTTTTGTCAGGGAGCATCCTGGAGCAGCAACATCTGTGTTGCTTGGGTCAACCTGTAATCTTGATTTTGTACTGGAAAGTTGAAAGTAATGTGAACCCAAATGTCTAGGAAACTAAAAACAACAAGACTGCATACTTGTGGGTATTTGACCCAATATAATAAACATTCTCTACTCGTAGAACAGCATTTGTACAAAACATTACAACAAAGCATAGACGCATATTAAAATTGTAACACGGAGCTAATCATCAGTTTGAAATGATTTCAACCTCCTCTTTTAAATCCAGAATCATGTGCCAGCTAAGAAGATTGAATAATGTTTTGCAATCTTTTTACACAGCTACATGCCAACAACAACAACAAAAAACAGGCAGCAGTCCAACAAGTATCAGCAAGTGAGGAGATCCCATGAAGCTCCCTATTCAGAGATAGAGACGATCTAGAAAAGGTAGACCTGTCCCTCCTCTCCAGCATTTAAAGCTCCTCCCTCCCTGTGTAAAAGGGGAATTTCCCCAGACTTGGGAGTGAGGGCCTCAGAGATGGACACGGCCCTTTTGACCTAACTGCCCAGGCAGCGCTTGGCTGCCTTGTGTCCTTTTGAGGCTGCTGGATAGAAATAACTGAATTCAACTATAAGCATCCCATTATGAAAGCTGCAAGATCCCCAAAGCTGCCAATGCGGATCCTGATTTATGCTCAACTATACACCCTATACCACCTTAAGAGAGGCCTTTTCCCTTTTCTTCCAGTCAGTGGCCGGTTTCGAATTGTAGGTGCAGTGCTGGCTTTCTTCTTGGGAAGCTGCTAAAGAGAAGTCAGAAAAGCCACTTTAGGTCCTTGGTCGGCATGCTGAAAGTTTATTTAAAAGAGGCTGTTTAAAGCAGCTACTAAAAGCAAGAGCCGGGCTCATTCGGACACTGGGGCTCAGCCTTAAGGACAGATTGTGCAGTTTGTTGTCCAGGTAGTTTGCTGGGGTGGGGTGGGGGGTGGGGGGACGCACAAGATGTGGCTGGGCTAAAAACCATCCATCCCCCCCCCCCCCCCCAAGGGAAGGGCTGACTTGCTGGAAAGATGTAAAAGGGAAATTCTGTTCCGGTACCTTGTTCTGTGCAAAAGAAACCGCTGGTTCAGGAGAATTTATATCCCTGGAAAGAAGCAGCAGAGAGGAGCAGATCGCCATACAATTCAGGTTTTATTCAGGCCAATGAAGGAAGGGAAGCTGCTGCTGCTGCTGCTGCCTCCTCCTCTCCTTGCCGCCAGCCCGGAGGCCTCCGCCGCCTTTTTTGCCTGCAGCCGGTAGGGAGACGGGGGGGGGGCGGGGAACTGGAGGGGCTCGGGCGAGGCTAAGCCCGGCGGAGGGGGTCTCCACGGAAGCCTGGCGGGGGGCGACGACCTTGCTGAGCACCCCCTCCTCACCTCTCCTTGGCCGCCGCCTCCTCCTCCGGCGCGTCCCCGCGGGCCGAGACGGGCCTGGCCAGGGCCTCCCGTCGGTCCCTCTGCAGAAGGGAGGGCAGCCGTCAGAACCGCCCCTCCGGCCGCCAGAGCCCGGAGCCCCCGCCGCCCCCGCGCTCACCATCAGCTCCTCCGCCTGGCGCATCACCGCCGCCGCCTTCGCCTCCAGCGCCGCGTTCAGCCGNGGGGAGGGGAGGGGGGGAGCCCCCTCTTCCCTTTCTCGGTTTCACTCCCTTTTCTCCCCCCTCAGGTGCCAAGGTCCCGGCAGTTGGTGACGTCTCCTAGCCCGATGGGCTCGGCCGATGGCAAAGTCCTTCCACTCAACGTCCAGGTGGTCACTCAGCCCATGCAGTCCATCAAGCAGTCTCCAAAGACTCCCCAAAATGTGCCGGCCAGCCCCGTGGGAGACCGCTCTGCTCGCCATCGCTATGCCCAGATCCTGCCAAAGCCAGCCAGCACCAACGCGCTGACCATCCGTTCCCCAACCACGGTGCTCTTCACCAGCAGCCCAATCAAGACGGTGGTCCCTGCTCAGCACATGAACGTGGTCAAAATGACCGCCATCTCGCTTGCCCCAAGCAGTGCCAGTGGCACGCCCATCAAGCACACGGCCTCCGCCATTGGCTCGGCAGCCGCAGAAGAGGCCAGGAGCCTTCCTCAGATCAAGAAGGGGTCTGTCATTTCACTCCAGTCCCCGGGAACCAAAGGGGGCGGCGGTGGCAGCGGCCTAGCTTCTGCCCCGTCTTCGGTAGAGGTCAAACTTGAGCCAGAGCTGGGGCTGGAGGAGAGCTTGCAGCAGAATCCAGAGAATCCCAGCCCTGCTCAGTCGGTCAGAGTCGCCCTGCTAAAGCCTGTGGATCAGCTGAGGACTGTGGAAGGCGAGGCCTGGAAAGGCCGGGCTGAGGAGCGTCTCGGGGCAGTTAGCGGCGACCCCCAGGGGGGAGAGTCAGAGAGGAAACCCCTTTCCCAGGCGCATGAAGCCCCCCCGGGCCCCTTGGACGTGGGTCAGCATGTCTCCAGCACTGGCATCGCCCCCTCACCTACTGCAGGCGACCAAGGGTGCCCGAAAGGCCTGCGGAAGAGGCTGCCTTCGGCCTTTGTGGATGCCCAGGGGCCCCCAGTCAAGAAACTCTCTGTGGGACAGGCCTCTGCAGAAGACCCCCAGGCCAGCGGTGCCAAGAAAGCCCAGCAGACGGGCGGCCTGCCTCTCCCCACCAGCGACAGCCCGGCTGCCGTTCTCCAGAGTCCCGGCCAGGCGGCCCTCCAAATCCAGGCCCTCCAAATCCAGTCCGCAGCCTCAGGGATCAGCCTGGAGCCCTCCTGCCCCTTGGATGCCGACCTCATCATTGCCCCCAGCGACTCCCTGCTCGAGCCGCCCCCAGCGGCCGCCTCAGCAGGCGTGGAAATGAAGTTGGAACAAGGCGACCTCTTTGTCCTGGGAAACGGCTCTAAGTCGGAGGGCAGCCTGAACCCCAGTGTGTGGCAGCAGCTGGCCAAGGGCTCCCCCTTTGCCCAGGAGGCCTGCAAGCCCCCCGTCAGCGTCATGACGCTTGCTGGACCACCCGACTCTGAGGACCTGCCCAAGTCCGCCTGGGAGCCGGTGCACTTAGAAGGGTTCCAGCAGGCGGGGGCAGTCTTTGGGCAGCCCTTGGCAGATCAGGTCCAGCCAGCCTCCCTCGACCACCCCCTGCCCGGCCAGAGCTCCGGCCAGCTGCCCCTGCAGCAGGAGCTGAAGGACTTTGAGGATGCCGCCTCCCAGTCCCACGAGAACTTCTTCTCCTTCGACGACGACCTGACGCAGGACAGCATCGTGGAGGAGCTGGTGCTGATGGAGGAGCAGATGTCCCTCGGCACCTCCCACCACCTCTACAGCGCCTCCCTGGGGATGGCTCTCCAGAGCCAGGGGGTGGCTCAGGGGACCCCCTTGGGCCCTCACCCCAGCAGTGCCCACTTCTATCACCCGATCCATAGCAGCGGCACGCCCGTTCATACGCCCACCCCCACGCCCACCCCGACGCCCACCCCCACGTCGGAAATCATGGCAGGATCGCAAGGCGTGTCCCGGGAGAGTCCGTGCTCCAGGATGGCCCAGACCACGCCTGTTGACAGCGCCCTGGGGAGCAGCCGGCACACGCCTGTTGGCACCCCACACTCCAACTGCAGCAGCAGCGTGCCCCCGAGCCCCGTGGAGTGTAGGAATCCCTTTGCCTTCACCCCAATTAGCTCCAGCATGGCTTACCACGACGCCAGCGTGGTCTCCAGCAGCCCCGTGAAGCCCATGCAGCGGCCCATGGCCACCCACCCGGACAAAACCAAGCTGGAATGGATGAATGCCGGCTATGGCAGCGTGGGGGGCGCGTCCTCCGTCACCAGCCAGGGGATCCTGCCCGGCTACCAGGAGTCGGTGGAAGACCGTTTCAGGAAGCCCCATGCCTTTGCCGTCCCTGGCCAGTCCTACCAGTCTCAGTCACGGCACTACGACCCCCATTTTGGGCGAGTGACTCCCGTCTCCCCCGTTGGCAGCAAGCAGGAAGGCTTTGCTGTCCCGGCGCCTCTCGATAACAAAGGTACCGGCTCCTCCCATGGCGGCCATTTCAGATGCCGGAGTGTCAGTCCCGCCGTCCACCGCCAGCGGAATCTTAGCGGAAGCACCGTCTGCCCTGTCACGGCCGTGCTTCGCCCTGGAACGATGGTGGGCTCTTTTGGGAGTCCGGTCACCCCGGAGGTTCACCCCTCCTTGGCGAACGTTCACACAGACCCAAGTGCCAGTGCCCTCGCCCAGCGCAGCCAGTCGGTGCCCCTGACGGTGATGATGGAGACGGCCTTCTCGCAGCCTCAGCCGCAGCAGCAGCAGCAGCAGCAGCCGAGTTCCAAGAAGATCACCAACGTCTTGCTCAGCAAGCTGGACTCGGAGAACGATGATGCCGTGCGCGGCCTGGGCATCAACAACCTGCCCTCCAACTACACCGCCAGGATGAACCTGACTCAGATTTTAGAGACTTCTGCCGCCTTTCCAAGTGCCAACGCCCAGAACATGCCCCCATGCAGCCCGTCCGTTTTTGAATTCCAAACACCAGGTTACCTCGCTAAAAACAGCAGCCCCGATCCGGCGGACTTTGCTTCTGGGGACCACGCAGCCCATTCGGACGCTGGGGAGCAGCAGCTGGATTTCAGCGGCACCGTGAAGGAGCTTCTGGAGGAGAGCAGCCTGCAGGGCGGCCAGGTGCCTCCCGACTTGACCAACGTGGCCTCCGTCTTCTCCAGCGACATGCGGCTGACCTCGGAGCTCTCGGGCAGCATGAACGACCTCAACGCCCTGGACCCCAACCTGCTCTTTGACCCGGCCCACCCGCAGGGCCAAGACGACGAGGCGACCCTGGAGGAGCTGAAGAACGACCCGCTCTTCCAGCAGATCTGCAACGAGTCCATCGGCTCCATCAGCTCCGCCGGTTTTGATTGGATGGAGAGCAAGGACCACCCCGCGGTGGAAATGCTGGGCTAGGAAGTGCGTGCGTGTGCGTGCGTGTGCGTGTGTATACACACCTATACATATTTGTGAGTGTGTGCGTATATATATATATGTATATATGTGTGTATATATATACGTGTGTGTGTAAATATATATACACGTGCACACGTGTGTGTGTGCGTGTGTGTGTGTGTATGAAATCTACGTAGCACACTGTATTTAAGAAACTCCGAAGACCAGACATGCTGTATTTGTCTTAACGGAAGTGCCTCCTCCAGCAGCAGAAACAAAATTTGTGAGACTTTTTTAAGGAAAAGAACTGCTCTGCCAGCTGCTTTATTATCTCTCCAGCAGGGTCTGCACAATCTCAACCAGTGTTTAAGGCGTTTCTGAAGGATGCAGCCTGCTCCAGAGCCAGGATTAGGTTTTAAAATTTGGCTTGCTGCCTCTGGAGGATAAAGAGCCTTGGTGGGGGAGGGGGTGGGGGGGGGAGGTAGGCAGGGAGCGGTCCCCCCCCCCCAGCCTTCCCTCCGTCTGCTCTGCAGGGCCTTCCATTGGCATCAGAGTTCAGAGAGGCAGTGGGGAAACTGGGAGGGTGCGTGGATGGGTTGCACGACGCATTGGATCAGGAAGTGCTCCTGCACTCTGGATGCGCAAAGAGCCCCCCGCGTCTTTGCTGGCACACCAAAGCCAGCGAGCATCCTGATCACAAATGCCCTTTGCCCGCAGAGTGGAAAAAGCAGAAGGGCCCAGCGCTCGCTACTAGCTGGCCTTTCCCAAAGGGTGGTGGGCTTGGCACCCCCTTCTCCAGGGGAGGTTCCTGGGGGTGGGGGTGGGGGTGCCTCATTGGCCAGTTGCCAGGGAAGGCCAGCGATAGACAGGAAGGGGAGATGGGAGTTCTCTCTCTATCAAGGGCTAACGGTGGGCAGGAGAGGCTAGCAAGGAAGGAGCAGCAGCAGCCCAGACCTTTTCCCCCAAATGGAAAACTTTCTCTGCCACAGGGTGGTGTCTCACGTGGAGAATACAGCAGAATGTTTTAAAAGCAAACAGTTTAATGCTGCTTTTAATGTCCCTGAGTAGGAAAGACTAGTCCCAACCCCTGCGATTAATAAATCTGTTCCTTCCGTGGCAACGTGTACCCTAAAATGTTTGTCAGGATTTATAGTTCTTTTTGTTCACACGAAAAACTAGAACGCAAGAATGACCCTGATTCCAGTTTCCCTAACTCACAGGCTTTTTATTTTAAAAAAAAGAAACATTTTTCTGCAGAAACTAGTTAATGTTTCCAGGATTGACGCAACTGGCCAGTTCTCTCTTGACGAAGTCATGCCCAGTTGGAGGACTCTTCTTAACGCTGGAGGGTGGCATCCCCAGGCCTTCCGTGGTAGGAACCGTGGGGAGCCTGCTGTGGCTGAGCCCGTCCTCGGAAATGTTCCTCCCAGCACCCACGGGGAAGTGGGGGGGCTGCTGGGGCGGGGTCCCTGGGGCTGATGCCAACCGAGGAGCAGCTGTGCCATGAACAGCTGGCCAGCCCTGAGCCTCTTTTACCAGCACAGCTCCGGGGAAGGTGGGGTGCTCCTCCTCCTCCTCCTCCTCTCCCTGGGGGAAGAGAGCGCCCCGAGGCAGCTGACTGGGCAGGGTAGCCAGCCCAAGGATCCTCCTTTGGCTCAAGGGGCACTAACCCCCTTCTGGGCTTGGGTGCCTTATAAGGAAGCGCCCAGGAGGCCCCACCCTGGCCAGGTCAGCAGTGGGAAGAGGGAGAGGGGGCGGAGCCTCTTTCCTCGGCCTCCCCTCTGGGGTCTGGGGGCGACCGCCAGTCCACCCCACCCCACCCCTGGCTTCAAAGGAGGCCTGTCCCAGAAAGCTTTTGGGGGTTTGATTCCACGCAAAGGCGTCTCTCGTGAAGCCTCTGCAGCCATGAGAATCTGCTCCTGCACAAGCACACGGATGGCGCTGGGGGGGCCGCTTGTTTCTCTGTGGCCCTCGGCTTTTGCCAGGGTGGCCCACGCTGCTGCTGCTGCTGCTGGGCGCATTGCTCATATAGAGATACACACACACACACACACACA